TTGAGCAATTTAACTACTGTAATATGCCCCCAGCAGATGTGAAGAACCTGTTATCATTTCTATGCTTGGATGGTTGGTGATTGAGACCCTGACTCACCTAGGATCTCTCTCTCTCTCTCTCTCTCTCTCTCTCTCTCTCTCTCTCTCTCTCTCTCTCTCTAGCTCGCTTATTCGAGCGCGCGCGGGCGCGGGCGCACATTGTTTGTGGAGCTTAACCCTGGCTTTGGGAGAGTTGGTCTGTCCGCAACAAGCCCGTCTGTGAGCGGGCGGAGCTGACGTGTCACATCTGGGAGTTGGCTCGTCGGGCTCGTCTGATTGATCCCGACCCGATCGTCCGATGGTATCAATCAATTGGTTCCAACGACGATACTCATGCGCAGCTATCAATCAATCAATCAATGGGTCCCGACTGTGCCGGTCCCGACTGTTCGACGGGGCGGTACCGATCGATCAACCTTGACGAAACTTCATCCGCCCGGTGGTATCAATCAATCGATCAATCGCCCGGGTCCACGCGAATTTCGTTGCGGTTTTTTTTTGTTCTCCTGGGTCCACGTGAATACGGTGAAAGGGTAAGAAGGTAAGGGTTGTGCTCCACTGCAGGGGCGTGGTCCCACTAGCAAAGAGGATCGGATCGAATGCCTGAATGTGGACGTGTCTGTGGAGAGGTGCAGGAAATCGAGATTGAACTGCTTTTCTGCATCTCTGCGTAAAACACATCCACATTCAGGCATTCGATCCGATCCTCTTTGCTAATGGGACCTCGGCCCAGCGGTCTTCGAGGAATTCCACGAGACCTTTGAAGAACGGCACTCGTGCCGTAAGAATTCCGAATTCGTGCTCCAAAAAAAAAAAAAAAAAAAAAGAATTCGGGCGGCTCCACGTGCCTGCCCTTTTGGGACTCTCAAGAGCACATTTCTGGTTGTGTACCTGGACCGAAAATACGTGGAAAATGCGGAATATCCCAACATCCTAAGCAATTCTGGTTGTGTACATGGACCCGGGGCCTGTTGGTACACCCCTGGGCCGAGGTGCGACTAGCAAAAAGGATAGGATCGATCTCCTGAATCTGGATGTGTTTTATGCAGAGATGCAGAAAAGCAGTTCAATCTTGATTCCTGCACATCTCCATAACCTCGTCCAGATTCAGGCATTCGATCCGATCCTTTTTGCTACCGGTAGTGGGACCACGCCCCTGAACTCTTGAAATACAGACACCTCTTTGCTACCGGTTGTTGGAAGTCCGCTGAAGTCCGCTGAAGTCGAATGACCAAAATAATACAATCTTTGAATTACCTACAGTGTAGGGCCGGGGCAAGATCCACTTAAGCAAATTAGGAGATTTGGGCCGTTGATCTTTGGTATCTACGGTCAGTATCTCTCAATTCGTGCAAGTGGGACCTAGCCCCCGGTCAGTGTGCGGATCATACATATCTCAGCATCTGTCTAACATTTGTGGTTGTGTAAATGGACCCGATACGTCGAAAATGCAGAATCAGTCCGGATAGAGATGGTCGACGTGGCCGTCCAGATACATGTGGCATATTGATCAGTGGAGCAAGAGCCAGTTACCGGCCAACTTTCTTTTTTTTTTTTTTTTCTCGCACACGATCCACTACTCATCAGATGTGCAAAATAAGAATGAATCTCCCGCCAGAACATCGGGAGATACATCCCCATAATTTTTGGCTGTTGTGCTTGCCGTGACTACCGTCTTCCCCTGAACATAACGCACCCTAAAAATGAATGTATACAAGCTATATTTCCGGCCAGAGACAGCCAAAAATGAGGGTGCGTTGTGCTCGGGCGAAGATGGTAGTTGACCGAGGACCAAGATCCACTTCTCAACCTCCTTACGTGCACTCGGACGTTTTGTCACTCGTGCGCTTTCTCGAACGGGAGCATCTGCACGACCCCAAACACGTTGAAAGTATCGGGACGATAATGCGGTCAAGAGGGGTATAAAGGGTTTTGTAGTTGAGCGAAGCCCACAAGCACATTCGAGCTCGTCCGTGCGAGGGGTAGACATGTTTGAAAAAAGGGGTTCAACAGTTCATAAAAGAGGGGCTCAAAGGCTGGGCCTCTCGTTGAACTGGCTCTTTGTAAATTTGGGGAAGCTCAATGATGAGGGGGCATACTCTTCAAACGGGCAAGGTATGTGGACGTGAAGGCTGTCAGATGCGTCCAAGTGTGACCGGTGGCTGTAGTAGCGGTCAGATACGTCCAGGAGAGTCCTACCTGAAAGTGTGTGGTCCCAGGCAAATTTGTTCATACCCCCTCACAACTGAAACTTCACAGAAGGTCAGGGTACCTAGAGGGTGGGGGGGGGGGGAGAAATCCCAGGGAAGCCTCCCACACTTGCTTCCACGTGGAGATCCCAGAGGGGCCCCCAACTGCTTCGGAGGGGCCCACTTGCTGGGAGAAAACCACTAGTGTGAGGTCCCCAGCCTCATTCCGTTCTCCTAGAAATATAAAGCCTTCATTTCGTCCTTTGGGACAT